AAAGACGGTCGGGCCGCGGATACAAACTTCACCACGACCCTTGACCGCAATGGCTGCCTCGCCTTCACCATGCACTGTGTCGGTGACGTTGTACCTAGGATCGTGTGAGATTGCTGGTTGTGGACCAGCCAAGATTCTTACCCCATGTCGGGCACGGAGACAAGCTTGACGTCGGCCGTCACCATGGGCGAGCCAACGGTACCGGCGTCGAGATCACGAAAGTCAGTCAAGTTGGTCGCGCCCGTCGTCTCGGTCTGGCCGTACAACTCGGTGCACGTGCAGCCGAGGAAGACGCGGAAGAACGAGAGCACGTGCGCCGGAAGCGGCGCCGCGCCCGTGGCCAAAAGCGCACAGCGGTCGAGGCCCAATTTAGCCTTGAGCTGCGAACGTGTGCGCTTCGTTAAGGTATTTCCCAGAGGAGCTGCGGTTGTACCTTGGAAAAGATGAGCGCGTCGTAGACAGCGTGGGACGTCTCGCCCTGCGCAAGGTTGGCGAGCTTGGTGTTGAGCGCGGTCTGGAAGAGCCAGGCCTTGACGCCACCGGCCGCCGCCGCGCCTTCAGTGATCTTGTCGTACATCTTGTTGAGGAGCCGGGGCACGGCGAGGAAGAACGTCGGGCGCAGCGCCTGGACGTCCTCGACGAGCTTGAGCGTGTTGCCTTGGGAGAAGCCAATGGCGCCGCCGAGGTAAACGTAGGCGGCGTGCATCGTCTGCTCGGCAACGTGCGCAAGGGGCAAAAACGACAGAACGCTCGGCTCCCCGTGGAGCATGGTGGCCACGGACGGCGACATGCAGAGCTGCTCGACCATGCCGTAGCGCACGGCGTTGAGGTTGCCGTGCGTGATCATCGCACCCTTGGGATCCCCCGTCGTGCCACTCGTGTACCTAGCCCATACATGAGATATCGGGTTCGTTCAGTCGCCAACGATACATGAGCATGCACACATCGTCGGGCTTGGCCGATGCCGGCGGTGCCTCCGTCTCCATGGCGCCGGCCGCTTCAATGTCACCGAGCGTCCAGAGCTGCAGACCCGCCGCCGACACGCGCTCGGCGAGCGACGCCTCGAGCACCGTGACGTCGGCGAGGACGATGTGACGCAGTGTCGGTGCGCCAGACGCCTTGGCGAGGAGGCTCTCGACCTCAGCGCAGGTGCAGACGACGGTACCCACGAGCGTTTGGTTGAGGATGTACGTCGTCGACGTGGCGCCGAGCGTGTCGTAGATGGGCACAACCATCGCGCCGGCAAAGAACGCAGCGTACTGCGAGAGCACCCACTCGGGTCGGTTCTTCATGTAGATGCCGAGGAACTTGTGGCCTTGCTCCGAGGCGTCGACCATCTTGTGCTTGAGGAGGCCCTTGGCAAGGTTCTCGATACGCGTTGCGCACTAAAGAAAAGACGATGTCAGAGAAGAGAGTCGCGATGACATGCAAATACCTCGCCGTACGTCTGCCATACGTACGGACCCGCGGCGCCGTCGGCATTGATCGGGCGGTGGCCGAGGAACGGGCGGTTGGGGTGCGCTGCAACCGTCTTTTGGAGGCTCTCGATGAGCGTCATGACGTCGAGCTTGGACTCTTGCGAGGCCAGGTTCATGTAGATGGCGCCGTCGCCGCTCGCAGGTGCCGGGTCGGCGCGCGAGTACATGGCCGGGGCCTCGAGGCGGTTGGTCGGGCCGCACAACATCTCGCGTCTCGTTCGTGCAATAAGCAAAATGGCGAGCGGTGTGGCTTGTTTGAATAGCGCCACCTGGTGCTCGGCTGGGGTTCGTGAGCAACTACTGCGAGGTGTAATGGTATGACGTAGACGGCAATGGTTTACGTTGGCGAGCAATATGGCGCCGCGCTTGTGGCATGTGGTAATGACATCTGCGAGACATGTGCTACGCAAGCTGTCTACAAGTGAAACCGTCGTTTTGTCGCATAGTGTAGACTTGCGAGTACCCTTGCGAGAGAGCTCAATTAGGACCGAGCTGGACTCGTGATTGTGTCATGTTGGATTCGGGCTAGGACTAGGATGGGCCGCTGTCTGCGCAGTGGCAACGCCTTTCCGTAGGTCGCCGTTGGCACCTTTGGTCATTGACACAATTGATCGTATTTGCTGCTTGGACCGCCGTCGTTCTTCTACTGCGAGCCTCGATGCTAGCCAGGCCTCATTTCACGGCTGACACGTAGAGCGTCGTCGATACAGGAGACTCGGCGTTTTAGTATTCGCAGATGGTCTTCAACATTGCACATGGGTCGCACGAAAACGCAATCGTGATGACGAAGGGGCAATTTTTTATAGTACGTCCTTATATTACGACATGCAGACACTCTTGCAAACTCAGAGCTTGGCTGCGTGACCGGCGACGACCGAGACGCCAGACGCGTAGAGCGCATCGATGCGGGAGGCAAAGGCGCGCTTAGCGTCGTGGCGCTTGAGCTTGAACGTCGGCGTCAAAAGGTCGTTCTCAACCGAGAACGGCGTCGGGTCCAGCGCGATGGCCCGCACGAGCTCAAAGCCGAGGAGCCCGTTCTCGCGCCCGACGCGCTGAAGGTCCGAGAGCACCGCTTTGGTCACCTACATGCCGCCACCATAGGATTCTTGGGCAATAAGAATGGGTCAACGCACCGCTGGCGAGTTGCACCAGTCGAGAAACGAGCCCGGGACCTTGAGCGTCGCGGCGAGTGGAGGGAGCGCCGACTCTTCGGGCACGATGATGGCCACCAGACTCGCATGGAGGCTATCGCCATAGACGAAAGCTTGGGCAACGAGCGGCGACGTCTGCAACACGTTTTCAATCTTCTCGGGCGCCACGTACTCGCCCTGCGCGAGCTTGAAAATGTTCTTCTTGCGGTCGACGAGCTTGAGTCGGCCGTCGGTCGTCCAGACGCCAATGTCGCCCGAGTGCAGCCAGCCGTCTTCGTCGAGCACCTCGGCCGTCTTCGCCGGCGCTTTAAAGTACCCGGAAAAGACGGTCGGACCGCGAAAGCACACTTCACCGCGACCCTTGACAGCGATGGCCGCGTCGCCTTCACCATGCACTGAGTCGGTGACGTTGTACCTATGTTGATCATCGTCTGTGAGCTCGAGTACTTCGATCGATACGAATACTTCATGTCGGGCACTGAGACGAGCTTGATCTCGGTCGACACCATGGGCGGGCCGACGCTGCCGGCGTCGAGTTCGCGGAGGTCGGTCATCGTGGCCGCGCCGCCTGTCTCGGTCTGCCCGTAGAGCTCCAAGCACGTGCAGCCGAGCACGACACGATAGAACGAGAGGACCGTCGCCGACAGCGGCGCCGCGCCCGTCAAAAGAATTTCGCACCGGTCGAGCCCCAGCGCCATCTTGAGCTATCCGGATCAATGTATCAGTCCATCAAGTCTTATCCGGAAGTGCAAGCTCGCACCTTGGTGAACACGAGCGCGTCGAACAGGCTGTGCGTCTGATACCCTTGGTTCAAGTTGGCGAGCTTGGTGTTGAGCGCGGTCTGGAAGAGCCAGGCTTTGACGCCACCGGCCGCGAGCGCGCCTTCCATGATTTTGTCGTAAATCTTGTTGAGGAGCCGGGGCACGCTGAGGAATATCGTCGGGCGCAGCGCCTGGACGTCCTCGAGCAGCTTGAGCGCGTCGCCCTGGTAAAAGCCAATCGCACCGCCAATGTAGATCATGGATGTGTGCATGCCCTGCTCTGCGACGTGGGCCAGCGGCAGGAATGAGAGCCCGCTCGGGTGGCTGTTCATGACGTTTGTGAGCCGCTCGCTGCTCCGGAGCCGGTCGAGGATGCCGTGGCGCACCGCGTTGAGGTTGCCGTGCGTCATGGGCACGCCTTTCGGGTCGCCCGTCGTGCCGCTCGTATACATGAGCATCGCCATCGCCTCTACGCTAAGCGCTGTCGAGTCGATCGGCTGGCTGCGGCCATCCGCCTCGAGCTGCGTCAGCGTAAATAGCCGGAGGTCGCGCGCCGCCGCGGCTGCAACCAGAGGCCGCTCGAGCGACGCGACGTCGCAAACGACAATGTGTCGAAGGTGCGGGCAGCGCGGCGCGCGCTGGAGGAGCGTCTCCACCTCGGCGGACGTGCAGACGACGGTCGAGAGGCGGGTCTCGTTGAGGATGAATTCCGTTGATGTCGCACCCAGCGTGTCGTAGATGGGCACGACCGCCGCGCCGGCGAAGAACGCTGCGTACTGCGAAAGCACCCACTCGGGTCGGTTCTTCATGTAAATGCCGAGGAACGTATGGCCGTCGTCGGTCGGCTCCAGCATCTCGTGCTGCACAAAGGCGGCTGCGATCGCTTGGACGCGCGCATAGCACTACGCATGCATCTCGTAGCATCCAGTGCGCCCAGGCGAGCGACGTACCTCTGCGTACGTTTGCCATTGGAATGGGCCCGCAACGCCGAGCGCATCGATGGGCCGGTGGCCCAAGAAGGGCGCCGTCGGGAACTGCCGCGCCGTGCGTGCGAGGCTGCCGATAAGCGTCATCGCGTCCAGCGGCGCGGCGCCCGGCAGGCTGCGGTAGACAACGTCGTCGCCCTCAGCGATCTGCTGCGAAAAGACGGCCGGTGGCACGATGGCGTCGGTGGTCCAGCAAGGCATCTGCTTGGGTGCAGGTGGCTTCAAAAATGACGAGCAAAATTCTACAACCGCCAAGATACTCCTCCACGTATGAGTTACACGGGCCATTGCGTAAACGACCTGGAGCAAGGAGCGGCGATCTATACCGAGCGCAAGATCGTTCTGGGACGCACGACTGAAATCGACGCGGTGAACTCATCGCCGACCATCCCCCTCCGCCTCCCAAGCTCCGGTCGCGGCGACTGGCGAGCCTGGTCGGCCACCAGATGGTTCCCTTTCAAATCTTTATCCGGATAGCCGAGCCAGCAAGGAGCAAATAGGTCGTCGCTTGGTACCGATAAGTTCTTAATGCTGCAGGATGCACTTGCGTAGCCTATGATCCGAGAAGCTGTCCAACGACGGCCGATACATACGTGCTCGAACACACGTGCAGGCGATGTATCCGGACCACGTGGCGTCGTACTGCAACTGCAAGCGCCCGCCGACTTCAAGTCCCAGAACCAGATCACGTCGTTGCGACGAGAGGTCCACATGACACAGCAATCTTGTCCACATCACAGTCATGACGACAGACTAGGCTTGTGCGGCCTTGGCGCCAACGCTCGTATACATGGCGTCGATCTGGGGCCGGTACGTCTTGGCGGCCACGTGGCGCTTGAGCTTGAGCGTCGGCGTCAAGAGATCGTTGGCGACCGCAAAGAGCGTCGGTTCGAGGTGCACGGCGCGCACGGTCTCGAAGCCGAGGAGGCCGCCCGCTTTGCTCACGCGCTGCAGATCGGCGAGGACGACCTTGGCCACCTAGTGCATTCCATGAGCACAGACGTAGAGCTAGATATCGAACCGAACCTCGGGCGACGCGCAGTAGTCGGCCACCGAGCCCGCGAGGTTGAGGGTCGCGGCGAGCGCTGTCAGCGCCGCTTCGTCCGGGTTGACGACGGCAACGAGGCTCGCATGGAGGCTGTCGCCGTACACGAACACTTGGGCGACGTACGGCGAGGCTTGGAGGACGTTTTCAATCTTCTCGGGGGCGACGTACTCGCCCTGCGCGAGCTTGAAGATGTTCTTCTTGCGGTCGACGATCTTGAGTCGGCCGTCGGTCGTCCAGACGCCAATGTCGCCCGAGTGTAGCCAGCCATCGGCGTCAAGCGCCTCGGCCGTGCGCGCAGCGTCCTTGTAGTAGCCACCAAAGACGGCGGGGCCACGGACGCACACTTCCCCGCGCCCGCAAACGATCATCGCTTGGTCGTCGTCGCCGTGCTTGGTGTCGTCGACGAGGTAGCTAGTAGGATGGTAACTTACATGACGTTGTATGGGACGATTACCCCATGTCGGGCACAGACACGAGCTTGACTTGGCTTGTCACGAGCGGCGGACCGACGGTGCCGGCGTCGCACTCGCGGTGGTCGGTCATCGTCGAGCTGCCGCTGACTTCGGTCTGACCGTACATCTCAAGACACATGCAGTTGAGCAGCACGCGGTAGAACGAGAGGACGGGCGGGGCGAGCGGGGCTGCGCCCGCAAAAAAGAGTTCGCAGCGGTCGAGCCCAAGCTTGGCCTTGAGCTACAATCCGAATCTGAGCCGCGCGAGCCGGAACACTGCATACTATTTACCTTGCCAAACACGAGGCGGTCGTAGAACGCGTGCGACGCGTACCCGCGCTCGAGGTTCGCGACCTTGGCGTGCAGCGCCGTGACGAAGAGCCACGCCTTGATACCGCCCGCGCCCATCGCCGCCTCCATGACTTTTTCGTAAATGCGGTTGAGGAGCCGGGGCACGCTCGCAAAGATGGTCGGGCGCAGAGCTTGGAGGTCGTCGAGGATCTTGAGCGGGTCGCCCTGGTAAAAACCGATCGCGCCGGCCGCATGAATCATGCTCGCCTGCAAATTTTGCTCGGCAATGTGGGCGAGCGGGAGGTACGAAAGAACGCTCGGGTGGCTCTTGAGCATCCTGCCGACGCGGCCAAACTCAAGGCGGGCAAACGTGCCCTGGCGCACCGTGACGAGGTTCGTGTGCGACAGCATCGCGCCCTTGGGATCGCCTGTCGTGCCGCTCGTGTACCTGGCTCCAAATCAGATAAAATTGTCGTGCATAAGATTTGAGTACATGAGAAGCGCCATGGAGCTTGGCGAAATGGGCACGGCCGGCACGAGCGAGACCGCGCCCGCGGCTTCGACTTCGGCCAGCGTCCAGAGCCGGACATCCAGCGCGCCGGCGCGAACCACCAAGTACGCTTCGATTGTGGTGACGTCGGCGAGGATGATATGACGCAACGACGTCACCGATTTGGCCTTGGCGAGCAAGCCTTCGAGCTCGGCGGAGGTGCAGACGACAGTGGTCACGCCGGTTTGGTTGAGAATGAACTCGGTGGAGGTGACACCGAGCGTGTCGTAGATGGGCACGACCGCCGCGCCGGCGTGGTACGCTGCGTACTGCGAAAGCACCCACTCGGGTCGGTTCTTCATGTAAATGCCGAGGAACTTGTGGCCGTCGTCGGTCGGCTCCAGCATCTTGTGCACGACGAGCCCCGACGCAATGCACTGGATGCGCTTGTAGCACTTCGAACAGATCGGTCACTGAGCGACAATCTTGTAAACAAGCAGTCCTACCTCGGCGTACGTCTGCCACGTGAACGGCCCCGCGACGCCGTCAGCGTCCACGGGTCGGCGGCCGAGGAACGGCTGGTTCGGGAAGGCGTCGACGGCCTTGAGCAGTTGGTCGAGCAGCGTGAGCTTCTCGAGGGTAACGGGCTCTCCACGGTACGTGTAGATCGCGCCGTGGCCCGGCGTGGCCGAGGCGTCGTCGATCGTCGAGTACATGTCGAGCGGCAAGGTCGGCGACGCCTTGAGCGCCTGGTACAAGCAGCCGCCGAGGGCCAGCGTGATGAGCGCGGGGATCGCCGCCGGTGCGGCCGCAAACTGGAAGACCATCGTGTCAAAAGCGGAATGACGCAGACCACCCACACGCTGGACAGCCCCACCGTGCAAGCTACTGCCAACAAGGCGCTGATTGGGTCGGTTCAGCAACTTTGCCAGACAGGCGCACCTTAGATACTAAAACAGGTGCTCTTTATCCGTGTCACAGGTGCTTCTTTCGCATTTCGTGCCCATCTATATGGCCAGACACGACACGGTCTCTTGGTTTCGCTTGATTGGTATAGCATCAAGCGCACGTAGGCAATGCGACGAGCCTCTTGGGCTTGCGCCGAAACACTTTCGAGCCCAGAGCCAGATTCACCAACGTTATCAAGACCGCCAGATAAAAAGCTGGACTCTGATTGGCTGGTTTAAACGGCAACCTCAACCCAGCGACGCAACGTGGGTGACGTCACCGCTGGACGCATACAGCGCGTCGATTATCTTGGCGTAGACGACCTTGGCATCGTGACGCTTGAGCTTGAATGTCGGTGTGAGCAAGCCGTTCTCCGCCGAGAAAGGCGTCGGCTCGAGCAGCACCGCGCGCACTGTCTCAAAGCCGAGTAGACCCTCCTGCTTGCTTTGCTTGGTCAAATTGGCGAGGACGGCGGATACGATCTAGCGCAACCATCAGAGACCAGCTGGTGAATTGAGCCATATACCTCGGAGTTGCGGCACCAGTCGGCCAACGACCCATCGAGGTGCAGTGAAGCTGCAAGCGCCGAGAGAGCGATCTCGTCGGGGACAATGATGGCAACGAGACTCGACCGGAAGCTGTCACCGTAGACAAACGCTTGATTGACGAGGGACGAAGACTGGAGGACGTTCTCGATCTTTTCTGCGGCCACGTACTCGCCTTGGGCAAGCTTGAAGATGTTGGTCTTGCGGTCGATGAGCTTGATGCGACCGTCGGCTGTCCAGACGCCAATGTCACCCGAGTGTAGCCAGCCGTCAGCATCAAGCGCCTCGGCCGTCTTCTCGGGTTCCTTGAAGTAGCCTGAGAAGACTGTGGGGCCTCGAATGCACACTTCGCCACGCCCCTTGACGACTTCGTCACCGTGGCGCGTGTCACTCGTGAGATACCTAGACAAGGTCAGGAAGGTCGGCGAGTTTTGGGATGACATACCCCATCTCTGGCGCTGAGATGAGCTTCATCTCTGCGCTCGTGAGCGCAACACCGATGGTACCCGGGTCAAGATCGGAGAACTCGGTCACAGATGCAATGCCGGCGGTCTCGGTTTGCCCGTATGCTTCAACGCAAGGGCGACCGAGCACGACGCGCCAAAAGTTCATCACCGACGGGGCCAGCGGCGCGGCCGCAGAAACAAGCAAGCCGCACCGATCAAGACCGAGCTTCGCCTTGAGCTAGTTCGTAGGTATGCGCATCAACCTCCGTCACAAGTCGGTGAGCCCACGCACCGGGTTGAAGACCAGCCGATCGTAGAACCAGTGGTCAAGGCGGCCTTCCTTGACACCGGCTAGCTTGGCGTCGTACGCAGCTTGGAAAAGCCAGGCTTTAACACCACCAGCTCCGAGCGCAGCTTCCATGATTTTGTCAAAGATGCGGTTGAGCAGGCGCGGGACGCTAAAGAAAATAGTCGGGCGCAGCGCCTGGAGGTCGTCGACAATCTTGAGCGGACTGCCCTGGTAGAAGCCGATCGCGCCGCCGTGATGGATGACGTACGCTTGCAGCTGATTTTCACCAACATGAGCGAGCGGCAAGTACGAAAGCATGACGGGGCCGGCGAGGTAAATGGAGGCGACCGGCTCAAAGGGCAGAATGCGGTCGTCGATGCCGGGAAACAGCGCGAGGAGGCACGCGTGGGTCAAAAGCGCGCCCTTGGGGTTGCCCGTCGTTCCGCTCGTATACCTACAACAAAGCAAGTAAGCACCGCCTCACGGTCCTTGGTCCATACATCAAAATGGCCACGTCAGTGCACGCAACACTCGCAGGTGGCTGCCGTGCCACACGGCCGGTCTCCTCCAGCGCCTTCAAAGTTGTCACGCTCAGGTTGTGAGTTGTTGCTGCCGTCGTGATGGCCTCGCTGGGCTTTTCCACATCACAGAGCACGAGGTGGCGCAGCTGCGGCGCTGACGCAGCCTTCTCCAACAAGCTCGCAGCTTCGACTGACGTGCAGACAACGGTTGCGAGGCAGGTTTGGTTGAGGATGAACGTCGTCGACGTCACGCCCAGCGTGTCGTAGATGGGCACGACGGTTGCGCCGGCGTAGTAGGCCGCGTACTGCGCCAGGACCCACTCGGGTCGATTCTTCATGTAAATACCGAGGAGCTTGTGGCCATCGTCGTCGGACGACGCGATTAAATCTGAGCTCAAGAGCGCTGAGCCAATGGCTTGGATACGCTCGTAGCACTAGAGCACGGGAAATCACCAACAAGCATACGTCTTGGGACTAAGTACGCTCGCATACGACTGCCACTCGTAGGGGGCGGCGTCACCATTGGCGTCGACAGGGCGGTGGCCAAGGAACGGTCGCGTCGGATGCAGCCGCGCGGTGCGAGCTAAGCTCTGGAAGAGAGTACTCACAGGGTGGTCCATTGCTGGCAAAATCGGTAACGTCGTGAATATTGTTTGCTGGTTTTGTATAAAGCGCCCGTCCTGTTGATTGCGATCGTGTGCACGAGTGCACCCACTTGAACAATTCTACATCATTGGGTATCTGGTGTAGGCTATCTGGTCAAGGGTCAATAATCTGATTATTGACCATTGATCTGGTGTACACTGGTCGCAGTTGAAGTGCTCGAGATCTGTGTTCCTGGATTCCTGGACAGACGCGTGGCATCCACGTGTTAGATTGGCCGAGAGGAATATTTGAGCGCAAAGATCACGTCCGCCATCAAAAGCTTCAGCGCATTCATCTCGCTGCTCAAGCAGCCTCCGGCGACGTGAAGAGCTGAGCATTTCTCGGGTTTGCGCTGTGAGGAATTCGATTCGAGCGTCGTATTTGCATGTCCTGATTCGATTCAACCGCC